TTACCTGCTGACGCAGCAGGTTCGGCCGATCGCGGCCCCCACTGGCCGCGGTTCGCCGTCCTGGGCCAATGGGGGCGGCGAGAAGCCGTGGCCAGCACATCGCTCGCCCGCGCCGCTTCTTGCTGCCCCCATTGGCCCGGGAGGCAAACCGTGGCCAGTGGGGGCCACGATCGGCCGAACCTGCCGCATCAGCAGGTAAATAAAACTGGCCCGGCCCGCCAGGGTGCTTACCCTGGCGAGCCGTGTGCCGAACGTTGCCGACCCCTGATTTAACATCTAACATTTAATATCTAATCATTTAATATTTAACATCCTGTGAGCGGTGATCAGCCAGTCACAAGATGGCAGGGGAGATCTCATTCAGAAGCACAGGCATCCAGCTTTATTGACAGACATACCCAAACACCCTTTAACAGGAGATGATAAAATCAGACTTACACTCTATCTTCTTAATTCCCTCTGACTCGTCTCAGGGGCCCTTCTGCTCTGTCAGTATCTGGAGATGATGGTGGCAGCACCTGGAGATGATGGTTGCTGCTGCTGCAGGCGTAGCGGCAGCTGCTGGCTGTTGCTGCCGTTTTTCCGGGTAACTGTTTTCTGGAATCTTCTTAAGATGCTGCTGCAGTTGTCTTAGCTGCTGCTGTTGTTCTGGTTGCTGCTTGAGGCTTCTGATCTTCACAAGCCCCAAAACCCCCACATTTTCAGCCTGCTAGCTGTTGGCCTTGTATACTAGTTGCTCTCTCAAGGTCAGCTCATCTCAGCTAATCAGCTTCTAGCTTTTCTAGCTCCTCCCCATTATGTCATACCTATTTTTAGATACAGAGCTCCTCCCCCTAATGCCATCTTGGGTAGAGCTCCTTCCCCTGAGTTGCTGGAAACTTCTGGAATTTTCCACTCTCTAAATTTATATATTAATTTCTACTTATCTAAAGCCTAAATCTTAGAACTAATTACTGTTTTATGCAAATCAAAGTGTCCTGATACTGTCACCACCTTAATTATGTAAATTGGGAGAAGTGAATTTTACAGTGTTTTTAAACCCCCTCTGAGGTTTTTTCCCGGGTCTCTATCAAGGTGTTTCAAGGTTTTTCAAAACAGCTAAAAGCAAAATTTCTTGTTACACTGGAGCCAAGGATAAATGCTTTTTTTTCTCCTTTTAGTTATAAATGAAATAAATAAATGCAGCTTTAATTGCGTCACCTGCACTCTGACCACTAATCCACATCTCCTAAGACTACTTCTAACAGGGGCTGTCAAGTGATTAAAAAAATTAATTGCAATTAATCACACGATTAAAAAAATGAATCACAATTAATCACGCTGTTAAACAATAATAGAATACCATTTATTTAAATGTTTTTGGACGTTTTCTACCAATTACAACACACAATACAACGTGTACAGTGCTCAGTTTATATTTATTTTTGATAAATATTTGCACTGTAAAAAACAAAAGAAATAATTTTTAAATTCCCCTATTGCAAGTACCGTAGTGCAATCTCTTTATCATGAAAGTTGAATTTACAAATGTAGAATTATGTAAAAAAAACCTGCATTCAAAAATAATACAATGTAAAACTTTAGCGCCTACAAGTCCACTCAGTCCTACTTCTTGTTCAGCCAGTTGCTCAGAGAAACAAGTTTGTTTGTTTATATTTTCAGGAGATAATGCTGCTCGCTTCTTGTTTACAATGTCACCCGAAAGTGAGAACAGACATTCATATGGCACTGTTGTAGCCAGCGTCACAAGATATTTACGTGCCAAATGCTCTAAAGATTCATATGTCCCTTCATACTTCAACCCCCATTCCAGAGGACATGCATCCATGCTGATGATGGGTTCTGCTCGATGACAATCCAAAGCAGTGTGGACAACACATGTTCATTTTTATCATCTGAGTCAAATGCCACCAGCAGAAGATTGATTTTCTTTTTTGGTGGTTCAGGTTCTGTAGTTTCCGCATCAGAGTGTTGCTCTTTTAAGACTTCTGAAAGCATGTTCCACACCTAGTCCCTCTCAGATTTTGAAAGGCACTTCAAATTCTTAAACCTTGGGTCAGATGCTGTAGCTATCTTTAGAAATCTCACATTGGTACCGTCTTTGCGTTTTGTCAAATCTGCAGTGAAAGTGTTCTTAAAATGAACAACAAGTGCTGGGTAATCATCCGAGACTGCTATAACATGAAATATATGGCAGAATGCAGGTAAAACAGAGCAGGAGACATACAATTCTCCCCCAAAGAGTTCAGTCACAAATTTAATTAGTGCATTTTTTTTTTAACGAGTATCACCAGCATGGAAGCATGTGCTCTGGAATGGTGGCCGAAGCATGAAGGGGCATATGAATGTTTAGCACATCTGGCATGTAAATACATTGCAATGCCGGCTACAAAAGTACGAATGCCTTCTTCTCACTTACAGGTGACAATGCTGCCTGCTTATTATTTACAATATCTCCCATAAATGTAAACAAACTTGTTTGTCTTTGCAATTGGCTGAACAAGGAGGAGGACTGAGTGGACTTGTAGGCTCTAAAGTTTTACATTGGTTTGTTTTTGAGTGCAGTTACGTAACAAAAAAAATCTAAATCTTTGTAAATTGCGCTTTCGTGATGATAAGATTGCACTACAGCACTCGTATGAGGTGAATTGAAAAATACTATTTCTTTTGTTTATCATTTTTAGAGTGCACATATTAGTAATCAAAACTAATAATATAAAGTGAGCACTTTACACTTTGTATTCTGTGTTGTAATTGAAATCAATATATTTGAAAATGTAGAAAAATATCCAAAAATATTTAATAAATTTTACTTGGTATTCTATTGCTTAATAATGCGATTAAAACTGTGATTCATTTTTTGAATTAATTGCATGAGTTAACTGCGATTAATCGACAGCCCTACTACTTCTAACATTTAAAACCTCCTCAAATAGCCACTTCAAAAAAAAAAGTCCAAAAAGTGTTTCTCTTTTCTTCCAAAATAAGAAATTTACCTTTATAGTTATACTGGTCTGTCTTTACATTTCTGTATTTCAAGTGTCTACATTTTTAGAATTCAGCTTGCTTCACCTTCCTTGTGTTGTGCTACATTTTTCACTTAGTAATTTATTATTTGAACATGGGTAACATAATGAGAATCATACTACCATGCTTTAGCAATAATCTAGTTCCTTGCTCATGTTGAACTGCTTAGCCTTTTGGTCACTTGGTTTATCCACTTGGGGAAAACTAGGTTATTGCCTCATAGAAGAATGATGCGTGTACAGTTTAAATACCATGACTGTATTCATAGATGTGCACCGTACATAATATATAGATGTTTTAAAGATGTTAAATTATTATTTTTAGGAACCTGCCACATCAGACTCAGATTCCACAGCAGCAAACTGCAGGTCAGTATAAAAAAAAAATGCTGAAAGATCAGGTGATAATGGGGAGCAATCAGCACCCAATACTTACTCAACCTTTGGCCTGTGGAAACAATTTTGAAATGTTATAAGATGTTGCAAAATTATAGTTCCAGTTTTCATGGAGAAATCACTGGAAACGTTTGGCAGGGGGCAGCTTGAGAGTAGGCAGAAAGGTTACAATGCAAGTGGGGCTAGTAACACAGATCCAGTGAAGTTAAAACAGAGATCTTCTTACATAGACTAGCCTCTCTCACCCCAATAGCTAGCCACATCTAATTTCTTCTTGCTACTGTCAAGGACAGTGAGTGATAAAGTAGCACTTTTATCTTGCTTTTACCAGATATAAACAATGGAGATAGGGGAATTTCTGGGCAGAACAATTAAATCCATGCTGTAATTTCCATTGGCCTTAGTGAATGAATTCCATCTGTCTAGAACGCAAAAATGTGAGGCATCAGCTGCTTATCTTCAGTTAGCATCTCTGATTTGAGAAAGAAATCTACATTTGTAGGAAAGAGGATAAGAATCATACTAGGAAAATATAGTGGCCAAAATGGGTGGGTTATTCAGTGGGTATGCTAGGGACAACCAAGTCTGAGATTGCTCATGGGAAGGAAAGTATCCACAACAGCAGAAACAAGAGTTATACGTATCATGATGTGTGTGCACCTCTTAGACAAAGGTTTGTCTTATATGTAAGAAACCCTTGTTTGGTGTTTTCATTCAAAATTCTTCTTCTTCATTACTGCTTTCGGGGATTAAAGGAGAATTTCGTATGACAACATTTCAAAGATTTGAGGCAAGTATATAATAGATGTTTATGCCCTTGTGTTTTTTAGTTATCTAAGAATTAAAAACACATGTATAAAATTTGATAATTCTGCACAATATCATTAAATGGTTTTTAATTATGTTTTCAGATAATTTTAAGAAAGTGGTAGGTGGCACAGTGGATCTCTGTCCTGAGGCTTATGGTTTAAATTTAGTGAAGCTCATCCCACAGAGAAAAGTGTGTTTTGGTCAGTTGTAAAAACACCACACAATTCAGCCTTAAAAATAAACAAAGAAACAAACAAACAAACAATTTTCCACTCAGAAGAAACCACGTTTTAGACAAGGTCAGATTGAAGTGTATAGTTCTAGACAGAAAAAACTTGCAGAGCATTCACTGTTCTTTTTGAGAACATTTGAAAATGATGTGTCCCTCTTGTTCAATATTTGTGTTACTAGAAACAATACAGTGTTGCCATTTCACTGAAACTTAGTGGCAGATATTCTTTCCATAAAATGTTTTGGAATTCTGAAAGTGCTGGGCACAGCAAATAGAAGGAATAGAAATAGTTACTAAAGTTGCTATTCTCACTGGGGATGTCAGTGTTCAAGGAGAAACCGGACTACCTGAAGCATCCATGTCCTCTGCACCTAGAAGCTGATAGCACTCTACTTGGCAACTTCTGCCCCATAATTTAGATCTCTAGCAATTGAGGGTAAAATTTCTGTGAAATATTAGTAAATTGTTAGTAAATATGACTGGTGGTGAAAATCCCAGTTTTTGCTCATTTGAGTGGAAACAAAAGAGGATCAGCAGCAGAAGAGGACAATACAATGGGAATGTAATCTGCCATCATGTCTCCTAGCTTATCTGATCAGAAAGGTGTTTCATTTTGCAATTCAGGTTCGAGGTTGTTGACAAGCTGTTATATGTCCCTTCCTTCCCTTTTCCCCAAATAAGAAGTGCTTGTTCTGACATCCCCAAAGTTAGCTCTCACATGACTGTCAATTTGGGCCAGATGTTCTGGTGTGTTCCATCCTGTCCCTTTTAGGGAAATAGCCACATCAGGCTAGCTATAAGTTTTCCTATTGTGGAAGAACTGTCAGCTCATGTACCTAGCTCCTCTGCCACATCCTCCATCCAGCCCCAACATAGAGGCCACATTGGGGAGAAGGGCAGAGCTCAGTGCACTTCAGCTATCCCCAGCTTTTGTATGGTCCCTTAGGGATTGTTGCCAGGTGGCATAGGTTAGAACACACCCCAAGGATTACACTACCTGGCATCAGTGCATATCTACCCTGCGAACCAGGAAATTGTAAGAGGCATCTCCTCCCTGCTACACGGAGCTGTAACTAGGCACAGCAGATTTCTGGGCTCATGTCTTTTTCCCATTGGGATTTCAGTCGGCCCTGCAGTGGCAAAAAAAAAGAAAAAACAAGGGATGCACAGGACTTTAAATACATGCTCAATGCAAACAAAGGCATGAAATACAAAGCAGCACATTTGCCCCCTACCTCATAACAAAAAATGATATAAAAATACATTTTACAACCCTCCGTATGGTTAATCCTACACCTTTATCTTGTTTTCTGTAATACACTATTTTAGTAAAACTACCCCATCTGTACCCAACAGTAAATAGAGAATGTTCTAGAAAAAGTGTAAAAACCCTTTCAAAAATGTATTTTCCATAATTTTGCATTGTCATAGCCATGTTGATCCCAGGATATTAGAGACACAAGGTGGGTGTGGTAATATCTTTTATTGGACCAACTTTTGTCTCTTTCACCAACAGGCTCTCCAGCTACACAGGGCTCTTCTTCATGTCAGACGTGAAGAGGAGCTGTGTGTAGCTCAAAATCTTCTCTCTCTCACCAACAGAAGTTGGTCCACTAAAAGATATTACTTTTCCCATAACCATGAGCTCAGCTCACTTTATACCAAGTTTCAGGTTGTTGCATTGTCTGAGAGGTAGCCAGTTTATATAAACAAAAATGAACTGTACAAAAATGTTCTTTGTAGCAGTTAGAGGTGCCGTAGAGATTAAATACCCCCATTTTCTACACAATTTGTAAAAAGGGGCTTTGGGTAGGTTCTTCAGCATAGGGACCAACATTCCCTCTAAATTTTCTTTGTTCTCAGTGAGCAACAAACTTCACTGAGCGCTGTATTTTTGTCCTTGGGCAAGCTTACATTTAAAACAAATTAAAATCTTCATACATTATATTGCATTGAAAAGTGGAAGGTATTTTTAGTGATATTTCAATAATACACATACATATGGGGGACACAGGCATACATACAAGTGATTTCAGTACCTATTAGCTTTCAAGAGTTTGAGAGTTAAAAACCACACAAAGAAACCCAGGAGAATCAGGCTTTTAGAGTGCCCCTGCCTCCCCTACCCTGCTTCTTACCCCCTCCCTGCTAGCTTGAGGCTTCTTTGGAGGAAGGGATTTAGGGTCTTTGCTTCTCTGCCCCCTGCCCCTTGCCACACTTCCAGGGACCCTGGGAGGGAGTTGCCATCACAGCCCAGAGCACATGAAACACACCCCCTACCTCAGCAGCAGTGGCACAGCCCTTCCCCCTCCAGCGCACCACAGCTCCCTACCAGGCCAGTCTGCCAGGGGCTCATTTCAGTACTGGTAAGGACCAGCCTCTGTGCCCCAGGACAGGGCCATGAACAGGCTTCCCATCCCCGCTTCCCCATCCTACCTAAACAGGAGTAGTAACAAGACATGAGAAGTAATTCTTCCACTCTACTCCATGCTAATTAGGCCTCAGCTGGAGTATTGTGTCCAGTTCTGGGCACCACATTTCAGGAAAGTTGTGGACAAAAAGTCCAGAGAAGAGCAACAAAAATGTTTAAAGGTCTAGAAAGCATGACCTGTGAGGGACGATGGAAAAAATTGGGTTTGTTTAGTCTGGAAAAGAGAAGGAGGAGGGAGAAAAATTGTTGTTCTTAACCTCTGAGGATAGGACAAAAAAGCAATGGGCTTAAATTGCAGAAAGGGAGGTTTAGGTTAGACATTAGGAAAAACTTCCTGTCAGGGTGGTTAAGCACTGGAATAAATTGCCTAGGGAGGTTGTGGAATCTCCATCATTGGAGATGGTTAAAAACAGGTTAGACAAACACCTGTCAGGGATGGTCTAGATAATATTTAGTCCTGCCATGAGTGCAGGGGACTGGACTAGATGACCTCTAGAGGTGCCTTCCAGTCTTATGATTCTAGAGGGATAGATTCACAGTCACATTGATTCTTCCCTACCCCTCTACCCAAAAATTCTTTGGTCTAGGAGATGGAAAGTATCTTCAAAGTGAGTGGATTTCAGATAGCGTGGTCATCCTTACATCAAAAAAGAGTTGTTATTCACATCTACCATACTTGCTTAGTCCAAACAAGCTAAAAGCGTAGACGGGTCTGTCTAAATACCGGAATTCTAAACAGGGAGACAGATTTGGATTTGGATTTGGATTCAGGTTTGGAAGAATCTGAAAAAAAAAAAAAAAGTCTGAAGTTGTCATACTTTACATCAAACGTGGACAGTTGGGTGGCCATAGACTTGAGTTGCTGACAGTTCTAATGGATACTTTGAGTTCTTGAGGCTTAGGGAAAGGATACGCAATTCCTATTTATAATGGTGACAATATAGTTCTGTGTTCTAAGAGGAGCTGTAACCATTAATGGATTATATACTTTCTTATTTATTTACAGGTAAATGGTATCCCTGAAGAAAGAAAATTGACAGAAGCAATGAATTTGTAATCAGATAATGCAGTAATCATGTCTTATTTCCTTATATGTGCAAATAATGCATGTGCTTTTCTGGTGTACAGTGTGCATGCCCACAGTATTAAGTACTTCAGTGCCAGATTATACAATCATTTCCATTTAACTAGTGTATCGTATCTTTTTTGTACTTTGGACATTTTTGACAATTTGTAAAACACTGATAACTTTTTATATTTGTTACATTAAGGAAACTATCTTTAAAATAAACATATTAATAAATATCAAACTTTCTTCTCACTGTCTTTATGATCAACTGAGAATTCTAAGGAAAAAGTGAGTTCTTTCAAAGTAACAGCCAGATTCAAAGATTTTTAGACTCATTTCTATAGAAATTTAGTTTTTTAATGTTTGATTTAGAAAGAATTGATCTAGGAAATAGTGGAAAAAATAGCTCAAAAAAATCAATGGATCTCTGCTAAGCCAGAAAGTCCTTAGCAATACCACTTGAGGAAGATGTGCTGACATTTTGTTGGTAGGATGGTACACTTGCCTTACCAGCATCACATCTTTGCGAATCTGAAATATAATAATTTCTGACATTTCTAAAGCACCTCCCACATGTGATGCATTATTCCTTCTCACTTTCATACTGGAGCAAGACTGAAGTTTGTGGGATATATTGAGGCTTTATTAAATCTAAAGTAGCATTTTTATTATCTAGACACACAGATATTCTAGTGAAAAGCACAATTATAAAAACCTAGATAGCTGTTTTAAAGGGGCTAAAAATGTTGAAAAATTGGTTTCCACTACTCTACAATACTTTATCATCATTGTCAAGTTTATCAGTACACAGGCTTTGCAGGACAAAGTATTCAACAATCTGGCCATCCACTAATCCATGCATTTTAGAAGAACATAGATAATAGATCACAGCACGGAGAAATCCATTTCTTTAAACAAACCATGTTTAGTCCATGTCGTGCCAAAATTTAAGTATTTTTCTCTTGTATGTATGTTTTTTAAACACAAAAATTAATCATTTTGGTGATGTATTTTCTAATGTAACAGTGTAGTTTAAGGCATAAATGGCTATTTTATATATTCAGTGTGCTGTCTTTTAAAAATAATTTTTTAAAAAATCTTAAAATTGTCAGAATACCAATACACAATACAACTCAGAGTAACTCAGTCTCTCAAATAATATTTCTGGTAATCAATATTTCTCTCTACTACTTATTTGCTTTACCTGGTAAAATGTAATGACTTAGAGGCATTCATCCATGCAACTTTTAAAAATCTGTGGGTTTGTTAAAAGGATCTAAATTTATGTCTCCGTGCATATAAATATATATTTACCAGAATATCTTTCTAATCTCCTAGGTAACATTTTCCTGAATATTTTATTAATTTCTATAATCTCCGTTCAAATATGGTTGACACAAACCTTCAAAACTCCCGCTGTCGTCTGGCAAAGGGGGTCAACATAGCGGATCCCCATTGAATTGGCAGGATCATGACGCTGGAGCGGATACTCTGCTTTTAACTCGTATTTGTGCTTTGTTTTTCCAGGATCTGTATTTTTGTTTTGCTGTTACACAAGTTAAGGCTAGCATTTCAACTTTAATAGGACTCTTTGAATTTGAGGTACAAAACAGTACATGCTTTAAAACTACTATCATCTGACGGCCTTTGGATTCTGAGCATCTATATTTCTTTAGTCTATAAGTACAGTACAAATTGTAAATAGCCTGCTGAGCTGGTGTGACATGTCCAAAACCCAGTGTATTAGTGGCATCTGCCACTTTGTGGGAAAGTTGTAACAAGGCCTGAGAACTCAAACTGGTGAGCTCTGGATGGCACCAAGAGTCTTTTCCTCACAATATAAGTGTGTTCTCTAAAGCAGGGGCTCTCAACCTTTCCAGACTACTGTACCCCTTTCGGGAGTCTGATTTGTCTTGCATACTCCCAACTTTCACCTCATTTAAAAACTACTTGCTTACAAAACCAGACAAAAAGATACAAGTGTCACAGCACAGTATTACTGACAAATAGCTTACTTTCTTATTTTTACTATAGAATTATGAAATAAATCAATTGGAATATAAATATTGTACTTACATTTCAGTGTATAGTATATAGAGCAGTATAAACAAGTCATTGTCTGTATTAAATTTTAGTTTGTACTGACTTCACTAGTGCTTTTAATGTAGCCTGTTGTAAAAAACTAGGCAGATATCTAGATTGGAGTTCTCAATCTTTTTCTTTCTGAGGCCCCCCCAACATGATATAAAAACTCCACGGCCCACCTGTGCCACAACTGGTTTTCTGCATATAAAAGCCAGGGCCAAAGTTAGCAGGTAGCAAGTTAAGTTGCTCAGGCTTTGGCTTCAGCCCCAAGAGACAGGGCTCAGGGCCCTGGGCTTCAGCCCAATGCAGGAGGGGGGGGGGCTTCGGCTTTCTGCTCTGGGCCCCAACTAGTCTAACGCTGGCCCTGCTTGGAGGACCCCCTGAAACCTGCCCGGACCCCTGGTTGAGAACCACTGATCTAGATGAGTTGCTATACCCACGGGAAGAACTCTGCGTATCCTTAGGGGTACATATGCCCCTGATTGAGAACCACTGCTCTAAAGAACAAGATGACCAAATGCCACATCCACAAGCATCAATAATATTTCAACTACTAATACCGGGAAATAAATGATTAAGAATCATGTGATGAAGCAGAGAATCTGCCTGCCAGCACACCAGGGATTAAAGAGAACCTTTGTGCCCAGCTAGCCCTGCCCCGGTATACCTGCAGCCAATTCCAGGCCTGGAGCGGGGAGAAAAGGAAAGAACCTGGCTCAGTTTGGGGCTGACTGGTGAAGAGGTAGGAGCCAGCCAACCAAGGCAGCCACCTGGGCGTAAGCACTGTCTCTCCAGCCAAGGGAGACTGCAGTGGAGACCTAGGAGCCTCTGGCACCTGAGGTAACTGAGCGAAGCCCAGAGACATTGTGGGGCTCGGCCTCACTAACTTGCAGCTGACCCACCCGAAGGAGCCTGGGATCGCAGCAGGGCACAGTCCAACATCCACAAGTGGCGCTATGGGAGGCGAGCCACCCAGTGAACCGGACTAGAGGGGCCATGCCCCAAACTGAAGAGACACTGTCAGGAAGTAGCCCAGGACAGTGGATTTAGACTCCATTTAGACTCCAGGCCGCCCGGCCTTCCAAGCCCTGTTACAAGTGATTTTACATATTTCCTCAACTGAGGCTTCCCCTCATTCTGGCTCAGAAATATCCAGAACATGAGTTGACAGACTAGCTTTGACATTCATGGATAGAGGCTAAAGAGAAAAAGTACAATTCAATGGTTTTTATCGCTCTATAAAATAGTTCAGGAAAAGGAGCTGGATAATAATAAATTAAGGTTGCTTATTTGTAACCAGAGTTCTTCAAGATGACTGTATATTCACGCTTAGGGGTATTGCGCTGCCTGCTGGTGCCAAACAATAGAACCTTCTCCAAGCAGCACCCTCCTAATCTTCCCCTCAGCGTTTCCAGACATTCAGAAGATGAGGCTATACAAGGGGGTGCTGCACTCTCTACTGCTTCAGTTCCTTCCAGTGCTAACCCAGAGAGATCATAATAGGACCTTGAGAGAGAGGGTAAGGTGGGTGGGAAGTGGGAATACAGTTGGTAACCATTTTGAAGAACAACTCCAGTTACAATTGTCCCTGCCAGCAGGTATATGGGGAGCAATTACCACACAGGTGGGGTGCCAATTAATTTCTTTATTAAAGGAAAAAGGAAGTGGTGGGAATTTAACAATGAAATACGATGGGATGGGGTGTATAGGGTGTTTACAATAGACAATGATGGGGGGGGGTTCTTCTAGTAAATGGGATAGGGGGTTTCAATAGTGGGGTACAATACAGTGGGGTACAATACAGTTGGTAACCAATTAACACTGAAGTATAAATGTAACAGGTAGCTAACAATTTCTATGTAAAGAGTGTGTCACAGCAGCATACAACCAACTAACAGTTATGGGTAAAATGGGTTAAATAACCAACAACTCCAGGTAATAATGTGTCCCAGTGGTGTAAATGTAAAATGTGAGGTGTGTTAGAGAGAAAAGGGGTAACCAATGGGGTTTTATGCTAGAAAGAGAGAGAGCAGACAGGCTGTAAGTTTAAACAGCAGAGAGAGAGAGAGAGAAAGAAAGTGGTAGAGAAGTGAGGTTGGGGGATGGGGGAAGAGGAGCACGTGGTGGAGGGAGATTTAAACTCAGGGAGACACAGAACAGACAGGCTGCAAGTTTAAACAGCAGAGAGACAATTATACAACACACAGCAAACTCTTATCTATGATTTAACTTAACCAAAACTACACAAATTAGCAAGTAACAAAACACAATGCAACAATTCTTTAAGCCTAACTTACAGAGTACAATGCAAGCAATTTCCTAAACCTAACTTAACTACAGCTATGCAAAATGAAATTACAACTTATCTAGACTAAAGGACAAAATCTAACCTAATGGATGCACCTTATACCAGAGGTAGTTTCAGAGGGCAGAGTGGTGTGTGCCCAGGATACAGCTCCAAGGGGGGAGGGGGATTTAACTAGTGGTGGCTGCAAGTGGGAGGGGTGGCTGCAAGCTGGCAGCCCAGGATACAGTCCAGGAAGGCACAGGCTTATTTCTAGCAGCAAAGGCGCTGCAAAGCAAGAAGCAGATTACAGATACAGACCAAGGAGTTTAAGAGAGGTTTTAAGACACAGACCAAGGTTTAGCTTGAGTCTGTGTGCTGGGGAAACAGAGCCTGCAGCTAAAGTAATAAAAGTATAGAAAGTTTCACAGAGGGATTCTTACCAGTCCCCAAGGCAGCAGCAAAGGCAGAAGCAGCAGCAACATCAGAAGAAGCAAGGAGGGCTCGATATGGTCTTGATAATCAGGAGGTCTCTCAGGCAGCAATTCGTTCTTCGAGGGGGGGGGGTTAAAACGGGGGTACGCTCAAAAATAAAACGAGAGCGGAGAAAGGACCCCCCAGAACCCCTGGCTGATCAGACCAGGTAGCAATGCAGGAACCTTTCTGATGTTTGTTTCAAAAATGCCTGTTCTTAAAGGCAATCTCAGGCAGTTTCCCCACCAGTAATCCTGATAGGCTTCTTCTGTCACAGGGGAGGAGATAAAGGGGAAAACTGCAGGTGAGCATAGAGACATGCCTGGGCAGAGTCCTGGACCATAGGCGTGAGTTCCCACCTCAGGACTCAAAAGCACATGAGGCCTATG